TATAGATATATATATACCAGAATAAAAAGTAGACAACATAAAAAGGCAATTTAGACACATAAAAAGTGTAAATGCGTTGTTAATATGTAAAAACACTAGAAACTAAAAATAATGTTAATAAAAATAATATGTTCTCATCAGCTTGAAGCTTTAAAAAACTGGTGTATCTGTTGTTCCTGTGGACTGAACGTCCGTACTGCAGCACTAAGAATGTGAATCAGTGCGTCTTCTCTGGAAAGCAGTTCACTTGTCTTTGTGTACTTTAGGTATAGTTCAGAAACCTGTTAAGATTCAGCTTTTAACTAAAAGGATATATACTGAAAGATTATGGTAGTGAAGAAATGGAAATAATCAATATACAGCAATGAGCAATTGATTAAATAAATTATAATATAGCCATATAAGCCCTAAATAATTAGGTATAAAAACATCTAATGACATAGAAAAGCATTCATAACACATTCAGAGAAAAAGGGGATTCACAGCACAATATGTAAAGGAATGATTATTTTCCCTTTCATCAAGTATATATTGCTCTGGGGGGGAAAATGGAAGCATAAACATCAAATATGTCAGCACTTACCTTATTTTCATAATCAGAAAAGCATACACAAAAGAATGAAAAAATCTAGACAGAAAATTTCATATAGCTTATAAAAACTAACAAGTGATAGAAAATATACAAAAAATAGAACAAAGTAAATATGCAAACTCTAACAACTTTTCAAGATCTATTTATTGCTTTATATATTAAAGCAAGGGCTTAAGAATCTGCTTTTAACAAGGGTAAATATCAGTGTCAAATTCTGGGTTATCTTGATACACTGAAGTCTGATAGTTATTTAGGCTTTGCTTTAATTGCTGAAAGAAGAAATTCCCATATTAACCATAACAAATGAAAACCTATTCATGTTTAATTCACTCATGGGATTTATTTTTTAATACTTCCTTTACTCTGCCATAATTCTTTGTAGTTTTTGAAAAATGTATGTATCATACACCAAGAATGAAGTTTCAAAAACATACTTTTGGGTCATGTTTTAGGTTTTGTAACCAACTCAAAACCTTTTGTTTTTTTAATATTTTCCTTTTAGTATTTACCAACTTTGTGACTGATAACATCACTAGAAATTTAAACTATGTTCTTTAGATTTCACAACCCTCGTTTTGCCAAGAGAGTAGCAATCAGGGTTTAGTTCAGAAAATACAAAAGGAATGGGTGGTAAATGTTAACTTTCATTTCTGAATGCTTAGGATTTAGCTATCATTTTTATATATTAGCATAATATTTTTCTGGGCCCTATAAAATCAAATTGTTTCAAGACTTGCTTATAGCATACATAGAGAAGTAAGTAAACACTGAATATTTGTGTATTTAGGTAAAAGATCTATTTAAAATAGCTAAGATATATGAAGCATTTGCTATATATAAGGATCTATTTGTGCTTACTTCACCTAACTCTTACAACAAATTTGTTTTGTTTTGTTTTGTTTTTTGTCTTTTTGAGACAGGGTCTTGCTATGCAGTTCAGGCTGGCCTTCAGCTCACTTTGTAGCTCAGGCTGGTCTCGAACTCATGTCAATCCTTCTGCCTCAGCCTCCCAAGTGCTGGGATTACAGGCGTGTGCCACCATGCCTGAAATTTGTGAAATATGTGCTTTCATTTATCTTTGCTGTACAGTTAAGAAATGGAAACAGAGACAGTTTAGAAACCTGCCCAAAAGCACACAGCAACTCACCAGCAAAATTGGAATTTGAACTAGAGAGTTTGAATCCAAAGCTCCTGCTCTCTTTACCCATAATCCTAAACTGACATGAAAACACAACCTTGTTCTCTCTCGGTTGCTTGACAATTCTTATATCATGATCAGTTCAATATTAAACTAGGAAGTCAAATTCTAATTTTATTTCACTGTAATTTAACATAAATGAAGTTTCTCTAGGCCAATATCATAGACACATGATTTAAATACTTTTGTTCTGCTTTCTGCAGTGTTGACACTCAAGCCTAGGACCCTGCACGTACTAAGCAAGTACTCTACCACTGAGGTACACCCCTGCCACATAGGCCCCTACTGGGAAAGATGAAGGCTCACAGAGGTGTGCACTGGACTGACACTCTTTCAACCACCTAGTTAAAGAAACTGAGGTCCAGACAAGTTTGTGATTTCCTCAAGGTCATAAAACGAGTTTATGGCATGAGAATATAAATATATCCCAGAAGAGTTACGAAAACAGTGTTGGCCCTTTGGGGGAAAAATACATACTTGAGTGCATCACACACATTTTCCAGTCTTCGCCACATCACATTCTCTAGGAACTGAAGGTTGCATCAGTAACACCAGACGCTAGCGATTACTCTCCTGCGATGAACTCGTATCTCATTCTCTCATCCAGTCTAAATTCTAAGAACATGATCACAAGCAATGCCTAAGTGACAACGGTCTTCCTTTGCAACAGTCTGTGGGACTCGAGAACTCTGACAATTTGTGTACCAAGACTTCTTTATGCCTTTAAACTTCCTAGGACTTCACAAAGAAAAGTAGTCTGACTTACGGTGCGCTCACGTGCACCTCAGAGTGGTGCTGGAAACACGCCAAGGGCCGTCTAAGAATCAAGACAGTTTTGACTGAACGCTTATGAACTTCTTAGCATAACAGATATACTGTGATAACCCTACTCTCTCAGTGTGTTTACAGACTCCCTGCGCTTGGCCTCCTCAGGGTGTCCTTAGCTGACTCTCACCCTCGGTTCTACAATAGCCCGTCTCTCTTCTCTGCTGGGAGTCTTATATGTTAGAGACAATGTTGTATCTGGCTGCTGAATCAGCTGAAGAAAAATGAGGTGTACAGTTAATGCTAATAATCCGTAGCTAATATGATTTAAAATTACATCAATGTTGCAAAGAAAGCTCCTCCGTAGTGGTATTTCCTTTTTCTTAACCTTTCACAGTTAACATCAAATTTTATAGTACTGTTTTCTATGGGTCCTGAAAACAAACCCAATACATATAAACTCCAATGATTATGTGTAGAGGGACGAAGTACAGGTAGAAACTCTCAAAGTGTGTCCATCTATCTCACAAGCAGGATTAAAACAATTCCAAGAACCCTCGTTCATTCACCCCAGCTCATTCAATGGGCAGAAGGAATGCCCAGAAAAAGACCACAGAGAGTAAGACGCTGAATATGTTATTGAAAAGGACAGAGGTCTTATAATGGCCGAACTTCCTCCTCCTTTTTACTTCCTGTACGGGACAAAAGAATGAAGGCAACAGAAGCTGGAAAGGGTAGGGAGGAGGAGGGGATGGGGAGAAGGTGCTTAATAGGTACAAAATTACAGTTAGAAGGAAGAAAAGTTATAGTACAATCACTGTTGTTAATACATTTCTATTAATTCCAAAATAGCTAGAAGACAAAATTTTACCTGTTTCAGCTGCCTTGTCCTACCAAGAGTCTTTACTCACCACTAATATTCTCCTGGTTATCACTCGGAACTTAACTGATGGTAAGGACTTTGCCTTTCACAGGTTCTGCTGGTTCACAGAGGTAGCTCAGGGCTCGAGCTAGCCCAGAAGCACCTCTCTCACCCCCATCCGTGGATAATTAACATGCCATGAATGGTTTTCGGATGTCTTCTGCTGGGATATTTTGAATCTTGAGAAGTTTAAGGGCAACTTCATACCTCTTCAGACCCGCTCCACTATCCTGTCCCTTAATTTTCTCTATAGGTTTCACCCTTAGCACTGCTAGATCACGACTGAAGAAAATTATTTCCCAAAGCTCTGAGTGTTTTTGTGAGAAAAAAGACTTCAAAGATATCTTAAAGGGCAATTAATTCCTGGGCTGCCTTATTCATATTTACCAACAAACTATTTTCACTTCTAAATTTTCATAGCTCTCATTAAGAACACATATATTACACATACACATGCATGCATACACATTCACACATCATCCCCTAGAAGATCTTTTTTGGGTTTTTGAAACAATAAATCCATATATATGGATCCATAGATCCATATATAGAGTATATATATTATATTTATTATATTATATTATATTATATAAGTATATATATGCTAGAAGAATTTCACCCAGGAAATTATCACAAGCATCAGGAAACATTCTGGGCCTAATTACATTCATCTTTGTCAAGGTAAAATTTTAAATGCACGTTTGTCGAACTGTATGAAATAATTCTGAAAGCACAGGAACACGTGGCATTCACCTGGGAGACACTGTGGCTGAGGCAGAGACCAGTATGAGCACAGGCAATCCCGCTGGTACGGAACTTCCCAAGCAGTACTGCACACAGCTAGTACCGGAAGACTAAACTCACTTTCTGCTTATCACCTCCACTGAAAGGTTACACACAAGGATTCAAAGTGATCCTCAGCAGTGCAGAGAGTAATGAACCAGAGTCACATCTGAGAGCAACCGGGGAACATGCAAGGTTTCAAAACGCCCAAGCCTGGGTTTTCAGGCAGCCGCCCTCTTCACTACGATGAAAACGGCAGACCGAGAAGGCATATACTGCAAGTGCACCTCGCTGCCACATTTAAAATTCCACCAGTTTTCTTTGAAACAATCCAGTATGTAGTTGTAATTTCAAAGTTTTACATTCATGTGTCTAATGGGGTGAATTCTTCTCCTCACATTGTCTTTTGACGTTCTCTTATTGAATATAGAAAAATAAAGTTAGCCGTAATCTCATGTTCTAGTAAGAAAATGTAATTTTTAGAATTCTAACAGAAAACAATTTGTAAGCAAGTAATTTATTTTGTTGTACCCATTTAAAATTGTTAATTGGCGTTTTCATTCCACAGGATCTTTGCTTATCGTTCCTAGAATTTTAGGTAGTTCTTTTAGTGCCTGGAATCGAATTAGTCCTTTGTATTTTCACTCTGGTTTACTAGATTCTCTAGTCCCTCTATAATCACTACAATCTCAATAATACAATTATTTTTATCCATAAATTCTTACAAAGGAGATTCTTACCCCTAAATATAGTAGGATTCCATGGAACATAAATCTCCAGAAAAAGCATCTCCGGAGGGCATTGATGAGTTTTGGATTTTTCTTTGAAGCCAGTTCTCTATCCCATTCTCTGCAGAAGAATGAAAAATGGGGCCAATCAATTGCATGTGCAGATGTCTGAGTCATGCTATCTTTTTGCTTTGTTTTGTTTTCTGAGACGGGGTCTCACTATGCAGTTCAGACTGGCCTTGAACTCACTGTGCAGCCGGGACTGCCCCTGACCTCACTTTGTCTGCCTGGCAATATTATAGGTTTTTAAGTCATGCTGGTCATTTCACGTTAATTACTCAGTTACTTATCAATAAATATTTATTATGTATTATATTCCAGCTCTATTATAGCTACCAGGGGTTACACCATATACAAAATAGATCAAATTAAACAAAAACGAAAATGCCAAATATCCCTGTCTCCAAGCCTCTTGAACACGTAAGAGCTCAATAGGAACATGGCCCTTGACTTTAGAATTGTGCATCTGCTATGCCCATTTGCTTATTTCTTTAAATAAAATCAGGGAAGATAAGATTTACTGTATTACTTTGCCTTGAAAATGTCAGAAAAGGTAAACTATTTAATTAAAGTAAGATAAACAAAGCACAATTCGATACAGCCTTTTAACTCTGGTCAATAAAACTTTGGTCAATAAAAGGTCAACTACGTTTTTCTTCTTTCACTTTCTTATGCCCATCCCGCTCCCCTTCACCTGGCAGTCTGCTCAGACAGTGTCTAGCGGATCTCCAGACTGTGCTTGGTCTAGGGAGTGAGAACGTGACTCTGAACTTTCTCCACGTGGCCACACTTGGCCCCAGGGTAAAAGGCTCTCTCCTCTGTGGTCTGTAAAGGTACAAGGCGCAGCACCCAGAATGCCAGCCTGGGAGAACTGAACCAGCACAGTGCGAACGACACTGGCGATAGGTGAGTCCCTAGCCGCACCGCTTCCACAGGGCCAAGTCTCTACCGAGGCATTCGCACAGACTTCCAGAGCCAGTAACATTGCCCTTTCCTTACTGTAGCTAGTTAACTGGATTTCTGTCTCTAGTAATCAACAGTCCCAACCAACACCCTTAGAGAAGGGAGGCGCTGAGAAGGCCTGCGCTGCGTGGGGCACTGCGCCTACAGACGGGCAGTACGGGTCGGAGTGGGGCCGTGACACCCTCATCGCCTCGCGGGCAGACCACACAGTCTAGGTCTTCTCAGAGTGGAGACAGCGACACTTCCTGCCCAGAGTGACCGAGGGGAGAGGTCACACTTGACGTGTAACAGGAAGTACAAGACATGACAATTTTCATGTTTCCTTGACATCCAGTAGCCACTACCTTCAGACTTCCCAGCAGCACATTTGTATTCACATGTTAAGATTTTGGGAGTAAATCTATTTCATGTTCTTTAAAGACAGGTACATTCTCAGAACACAAATCCAGTCATTTCTCAAGAAAATTATTCTTCTTCCTTCATGGTTTCATTATTTAATTCTTCAATCAGTCAGGATTTCAGCAAAAATATAAGAAGTTCCTATTTTAACTATGCCATTTGGATTACGCCCTCTAGCATGTTAGTTTTCTATTCCCTAAATAATTAACAATATGAATATCTTGTTTCAACTACTAAACCATGAGAGTACCTTTCCAATTTTTCGGACAGATTGTCAGCAGAGTCAGCAGAAGGGATTTGGTATATATCTGACAGCTCCAGGCGCTTTCTGTAGCCTTTCTTCAGAATTGGTCTTGTCCAGCTAAAACAGAACAAGGAGGGCAGGCATAAATAATCAATTGATTTGATTGCCAATATAGATTGGAATCTGACACCAATTCACATCTTCCGGTATGTGGAAGATACTGTATGCATGCATAAATATGAGAATAAAAATCAACTATGTAAATGCCAAAATTCATATTTTACAGGACACATCTGTATAAAATATCAAAAATTCTGAAATAGTGTGACTGACATTTTGACAGAATGAGTAAGAAAAATGTTAAATCTTTCCCAAGGAACAGGCAGGCTGCTAAACAGATACTTAGTCAACACTCTTTTATAACAGTATTATAATAACACAAAGTACTCAATAAGAGAGTATCCATTAAATAAATTGACTATAGCTAGAGTGTGAGTAGTTTGTACCAATTTGTTGGATTACTTAACCTGCCTGAATCATAACTTGAATTTAGGGATCATTAACTTCTTAAGTTTTGCCTCCTCGTCCTACATCAGTTCCACATTTCTTCCCTCTACGCATCAAATAAATAACAATTTATTATAGGAACTAATGAAGCTGGCCTGGGATATAATTAAGCAAGGTACCCTGGTATTGTCAAGTACGTTGTTTCTGATTACTATGGGCAATGCAGAGCCACCTTCACAGAAACAAGACAATCCAAATATGAAAAGGAGGAGGAGGGGGAAGGAGACGGAGAATTGCAAAGTAAATAAATCATCTGCAGAGAGAAATTTCTAAATGAAATTTGGAAGAATGAGACCGGTTTTGAGTGAAATTTCATGTATTTATTGAAGAAAGAAATCTAGCTTGAATTTAGTGATACACAAATCTAAACTAGGCTGTTCAGCACCTTGATTTGTTCCAAAGAATTCTAACATCGATGCCGCTGATACGTTCTGGCGTGTTAAGCCGCTGTAAAGAGAGGCAAGATGAATTCATAGAAGTAAAAGTATTTGTTTTTTATTAGCATATGTGTGTGGTACTGAATGAATACAGTCATTGTGGGTACTTTGTGTATGTCCAGTAGGAAAAATTTTCTAGCAAAGCCATTCAGAATAAAAAAGAGCTGTTCTGTCATTGCAAACGTTCTGATATTTTCCCAGCCAAACCGTCCTGCGGATGGCCTTCGTTCCCTCCCTTCGTTCCCATGAAAAGGTCCAGATTCCACTTCCTTCATCTCCAATTTCTTCAGTAGGCTCTGCCTGTTATTCCTGTTTCTACAATTTTTCTTTCATGAAGATTTACCTGAATTAGGGTCCAGCTCTAAAGCTACATAACCTCACCAATCATTTATGGCTAAGATATGTATGACTATTGCTTAATATGTCACTTTTCCCCATTAACTGGAAATTTGCGTTTTTAACAAGAGAGTGCTTTAACAACAGGTGGTAATTAGGTTTACTCTTCATTAAACAATGGATGATAAGTCTCATCCATTGGTCACTTTTCCTGGAAAGCAGTAATGGAAATACATAAGGCCTGCCGGAACTCAACAGGAGAAGAAGTGTCGTGACGCAGCAGGGTCTGCGTTGGCCATCACGTGAGGAGGAGGAGGCACGGCCGTGTGGTGCTCCCCATCCCGGTATCCGGCAGATGCAGGCGGCAGTCAGGCTAGGGAAATCTGAGGAGGCAGTTTAAGGTATCATCTAGCAAGCTTTTGGAAACTGATGTGAAGAAGAGAAAAGGTAAAACTGGAGTTTACTACTAATAAAAAATTGTGTGCACATAGCCTTTTCCAAAGAGCTTTTGATACATGAGAATTGTAATTCCTAGCCTGCTAGATGTCAGATGTGCCCAGTCCGTGTGCCCTGAAATCAAAGAATGAATTTCAAGGGACAGAGGTTAAGATTAGGAAAGATTCATTGAGAGATAGCTCCTGAGAGACAGAGGGGTCCAGAAAATGGGTTGCCACCAAGGCCCTTTGTCCGTGGCCATTTATGCAGCAAAGTCACAATGTGGGTACAACATGGGTCAAACCTATAGGATTACAAGCATAGCCACTTAACCAATATCAGGCCAGTAGGGAAACCAGTCACAGTGTAGCAAGGCCACATAGAAAGAGCACAGGCATTTCTGGGAAGGGACAGGTCTGGATGCTCTGATCTCCCACTGGGTGACTGGTGCCTGGACTGCCAGCTGGATCTCCTGGACCAGAGGGAGGTAATTAAGGTATAATTCCAAGTTACTGTTTAGCCCTTAGGGAGGTATGTAGGCCTGGCCATTGCATCTCTCCCTTGAGGTCTGGATTTCTTCAGATGTGCCTCCAGCCACAATTCTGATGTCTTTATTTCTGTGCTGACTTCCTTGACAGCCTAGTCCCTCTCTGACTGTACATTAATTTCTGTCTAACTGAGCTGCCTCTAATACTCTCACCTTCTACAAGCACATTCTAATTTTAATTTGGAAATTCCCTTAAGTAGGAACAATAAAAAGGGACCACTGCCCTGTTTTAAGGGTAAAGAAATGGTGCTCAGAGATACTAAACTGGTCTGAATTACTCAATGGAAAAGTCTAGACTTTCCCACACTCTGCCTGCACTCTTGACTGTACTAGGCTTAGCCTTTTCAGTTTAAGAAAATTAATTGTGGCAAGGTGTGTTAGTGAGAGGAGACTGGAAAGCTGGGTGCAAACAGCTACACACAGTGGTTCTGTGTACTGCTAATAGTCAATAATCCCCTTTCCATAAAGTAAAATCAAAATCTTTCATCATCCATTTATTCTGGCAAAAATAATCTTACCATTTCAAGTTACCAAATATGAAGTCAGCAAGCACAGATTTGGAAGAGATAAGCAATTACATATTATAATATAATATATCCACCATTCAGATACAATGAACACAAATAATCTTGAAAGTACAAACAATAAAAATCAGAAAATGATAACTTTTGAATTTTTATTACTGTTGTTTTAATATAATTTATTTAATTATAGATTTAAATAATTTGATGTTTAATTATGGCTATGTTTAGCAACCAGCTCACAAATTTACTGAATATTTGATAATTAGCTCAGCTAGGAAGAGCCAACCATAGCAGACCACTGACTACCAGAGATTTGAAAGGCTTAGAACAAACATATGCTGCTACAGTGGAAAGAAAGGGACCCGCAGAAGATTTAATAAAAAAGAAATGTGTCCTACCTATAGTGAAGCTTGTATTTTCAATATGCTTTAAATACAACACTAACTTTACAAATGAACAGTATTTCACTATCAATATTAAAACTGCAAAGGCATTCTCAAGAAATTAAAAAATAAATCTCAACCTCTTTCTTCAAAAATATAAACACAACTCTTTTTATCTATATCTTAGATTGGGTGACAATTCCCATAAGTGAGTTTTCAGCTCATTTCAAAATCTTTGGGCTGCTTTTATAAAAAGCTTTCTGAATTCTCTGCATCCATTTTAAGAAGTCGTGTTACAGCATGACATCTGGTTTTGACTACGAAGAGTGCTGTCACCAAGGTTCATCAAACCAAACAAAATTCAGTAGTATAATGACCCGTTTACCATCTATAATTATTAATATTGTTTAGTATTTCTTGGTAGTTTCACCACAGCCAACCTATATGTGTGTCCCCAAACTGAACCATGGTTTAAGGTAAATTATGAACGCTAAAATCCATTAATTGTAGGCTGACTGCAATCACCACAGAATCACATTAGAGAAAGATTTTATCCCATGAATTTAAGCCAATAAAATTGAATAAAATTTCTGCCTTACCAAAGAGTTCTCCATTTTTGCCTCAGGCCAGGAATTTCTTATAAATACAAAACAAAATAAACCAAACAGCTATACTTATACACGTTATTAAATATTAATTTATGCAAAACTCCAGCCAATCTTCCTTTTGAATAATCCTGCATATATGCAACAGACTTGGACAGAATTTAAGAGTGCTTGGTCAAGATTTTCACCTCCATAATTTCTCCCATTAGAAATTGAAACACCAATGCAGATTCACCACGAATAACAGAAATCCATAAGCTTTTGCTGGGGCTGGGGATTTAGCTCAGTGGCAAAAGCGCCTGCCTGGCAAGCGCAATGTCGTGAGTTCGGTTCCCGGTACCGGAGAAAAACCAAAAAAAAAAAAAATAAGCTTTTGCTTTGCTTTCCATCTCTCTTCTACTGCACCTGCTGTCTTTTCTTCTCACGTCTAACTCATTTAGCTTTTCCTTCATTTAGAGCAAGGTACTATGCATGGACAGTGGACTCATAAATTGGTCTACTCAGCAACTGTGATAGCTTTCAAAGTTCTGCCTATTTCCAACAGAAACTAGATAATTATTAATCATGAAGTAGAAGGGGAAGTAAAAAAAGAATTAAGACTCCTCACAATGAATGTAATCACTATGTAATCAACTTATTTTTAAATTATGAAATAGCAGAGACTCATAATACATACAGATGTTTAGAACTTGTAAAGTTTAAATTAACTGAAAAAAAAGAAGTCCTAGCATCCCAGATAACATTGTTCTGGTCACTTATCATAAGAAGTTTGGGGTTTCACTGCAAAGAAAATGCTATATAGTGATTTTTTAAGCACACACATATAATGCTGTATTTAGTCCATTTTATTTCTTAGAATAAAACTTTCAATTTTGTATAGAATGACTTTTTAAATTCCTCATGATAAAAAGAATTTGGCATTTATAGCCACTATTACAACTTGGATTTTCATAAAACTCATTCCCCTAAAACAATAATTAAAGCTTGTAGTCATTTTTATTTGACATTTGACTTTTATTAATACAACAGAGCACATGACATTTTCATTTACTAAAACTTAAGATGAAGGTATCACATATCAGACCTTTTCAAGTCAAAATAATTTTGTTTGTATAAAACAATCATGCTTCCACAATATCTAGCATTACTTTTTATTTAGCTAGCCAAATGAAATAAAATAGCAAATTCAAACCACCATGGCATGACACTTTTCATAAAACTGACACATTAATAAACCTCATAGCATACCTCCTTTATGTGTAAAATAATTAAAACTTAAAAGA